GCAGCTTCCTTCCGACATTTCTTCCGTAAAATTTAGTGTTCCTGACGTTTTTTTTTTTAGTCGGTTAACGCACTTTTAGTGATTTTCAACATAACATTTGTATGGGAGGAGGGCGTGGTTATTATCCGATTTCTTCCATTTTTGACTGTATATGGAAATGCCTAAAAGAAACGACTCTATACAGTTTGGTCGAGATATGTACAAAAAAGTTAGTAGGGGGCGGGGCCACGCCCACTTTTCCAAAAAAATTACGTCCAAGTATGTCCTTCCCTAATGCGATCCTTTGTGCCAAATTTCATTTTAATATCTTTAGTTATGGCTTAGTTATAACACTTTATAGGTTTTCGGTTTCCGCCATTTTGTGGGCGTGGCAGTGGGCCGATTTTGCCCACAGTCATTGCAGTAGTTGCTAATCTAGAAGTGCGATTTTCATCGCCATAATCCTCAATACCTATCATCCTATCGAATTTCCTATGATACTGCAAATGACATTTCAGTGACATTTTATCACATGAAACCGACACGAACTTTTGTTCGAAAGTGAATCCCCTACTCCTAATCCCTAAAGATTTTATGCTACTTTGGGTGCAACCTGGGAAACGGGGCCAGTCTGTAACAAAGTTTTAAAAAGTACGGAAAATCTAATTAGTGCTTTAAGTGCCGATAAGCAACTGGCGATAGAAAAAATACACTTAAATATATCGTTTTAAAAAAATTGTCATATCGCCGACCATGGGTACGGCGATTACTATTTATAAAACTACTCCTAATACAAACACCTAACTGAGGATTAACTTTACTACAAACTAAGGAAAGAGGGTCCGACTGTTCCCTAAATGAGCTATTCCTTAGCTGTTCCCTACATCTTTCTAACTCTGCGGCCATTTCAACTAACTGGGCCTTTAAACTTCTATTTTCCTGCTCTTTTTCACCTAACTTTATTTTCAAAACCCTACTCTCTTCTCTCAATGTCTTCTTCTTTTCTGTACCTGCGGTCAGACCCCTACCTGTTTGCGCGGCCTTCAAAATTAAAAGATATGTACATCCTCCTAACAAAATGGAAGGGGCTCTAAAATTCCATCTTCAATTTCATTTTCCATACTTGGAAAAAGCTGCCTCGATGCATTTTGAGCATTTGAGATAGCTTCTTCAACTTGGGAAGCAAAATCTTCTAGACCTAATAAAATTGTATTTTTTAATTTAGAATTTGGGACGTCAAATGTAGGCTCAACTTTTAAATTTATATCGGGAACGGCCCGCGAACGCAATCGCTTTTCAAGGC